CCCCCCCCCAAGCCCTGCTGATACTCCTCACTCTCAAACTGGAGCCCCTGGGTATGTGAGTAGTGTGTTTGCATGTGCTTGTTTGTGTGCATGCATGTGTGTGTGTGTGTGTGCATGGAACTGCGGGGACAGCTGGAGGTGTAGGCATCTGTATGCAGATGGTTGGGACATTTCCAGTCTTTGCCTAGCCCAGCCCTGACCTTGGAGAGCTTTCCTGCTCTCTCCTCATGAGCTGGACCCCCCGCAGCTGTCTCAGTTGCCCCACCCCTTCCCTGGCCCCCAGCTCTGGGGTCAGGGGAATAGAATGGAGACCCCAGGGCCTGAATGGAACTGGGGCTGCTGCAAAGGCTGGAGATGGGGGCACAGAAGGGGCTGCAGCAGGGGGGGCAGCTGGACTGGGCTGGGGAGCAGGACAGTGTTGGTGTCACCCACTCTGGTCTCCCAGCTCCTGGAGGTACGGGAACATCCCAGGACAAGGTGTGGCTGGGCCAACACATCACCAAAGGCTGTCAGGGGTCTGGAGCAGGGGGGCAGCAGGGCTGGGGGAGTGGTAGGGGGTTATGGGTTGGGAGCGAGGGGTACTGGCAGGGGTGGCAAGGGGCTGTGGGTCAGGAGTGAGGGGCACTGGAGTGGGGGGGGTAGCAGGGGGCTGCAGCTGGGGGTGAGGGGCACTGGCAGGGCTGGGGAGAAGAGGGGCAGAGAGCATTAGGTAGCTGGGGTCTGCTGGGACTTTGCAGGGTCTGTTTGTCTCTAGCCATTCATCCATCCAGCCAGGTCTGAGCTGTTCTGTTTAAATAAGTAAATACCCTTTCTCGGGGGGGGGACATGGACAGACACAGTTGGGTGCAGTGCCTAGAGAAGAGGAGTGGGAAGTTAGGAACCAGGACTCCTAGGTTCTCTCTGCAGCTCTGGGGCTGATGTGGGCAATTTACAGGTAGAGGAGGAGTTGCTGGCGGCCTGGATGTCTGAGTTCTGTTCCCAGCTCAGGGAAAAGAGCAGGCCACAGGGTGGGGTTCCAGTGTGTGCTGGCGGCACCAAACCGGGGACCTCCAGCCTGGTGTGTGCTCATGGGACCAGGCCAGGGACCTCCAGCCCTTTGGGGGGGTCTGGGCCACACATGACCTTAAAGCAAATTTTGAGATCTCCCCGGGTAATCCTGCGAACCTGGGGGCCCCAGCCATGCCCTCTTTCCCCCTCTCTGGGCATCCTGTGGGCCAAGTACTAACCGTCTTTCCGACTTTCACCCCGGCCTCTCTTGCTGATTCCCTGCCAGGACCGGCGTCTTTAAAGAAGTCCGGGAAGCTGGACTTCTGCAGCGCCCTGTCCACCCACACCAGCTCCCCGCGAATGGCTTTCAGCCACCACCCGCTGCCCGTCCTGGCTGGAGTCCGACCAGGTGAGAACGGGTGCGGGCAGGCGGGGCCGGGCAATGCCCCCCTCCTGCCCTCAGCCCTGCGGTTCTGGCAATGGGTCCCTCTGTCTCCTCCTCTCTTCCCTCTTTCTCTTTCTCTTCACTCAACCCAAGGATCACAGACACCTGGGGAAGGGTTAAGGGGAGGGGAGGGGGCTGGAGCTGGGCATCACCCCCACAACCCTGGGGCACAGCCAATTGGGAGTGACACTAGAGTGACTCCAGATTAGCCAGAACCTTCTGGAGTCCAGATCAGCCAGGAGGTTGCAGCAACTCCTGTCTGTCTCTGGATGACGCAGGACTGGGCTCCTCCCTCCCAGGGCTGGTGGGTGACAGGGATGGGTCCAGAGTGTGGGGCACCAGGGAATAAAGAGCTGCAGATCGGGAATGAGGGGCATCATGGGAGTAGGAGGCTGCAGGTTGGGAGTGAAGGGCACTGGCAGGGCTGGGGTGAGTGGGTGCAGTTTGTCTGAGTGTGACATGGGGGGTGGGCATCAGGCAGTGTCTGAGGCTAGGGTGGGGGGGGGTCTGGGCTGCTTTCGGGGGGCGGTGTCTGTCCGTGGTTGTGTGAAATGCGTGTTCTTGCATGGGCAGTGCCGGCTGTGCCTCGTGTGTCCAGTGCGTGTACTATGAGTGTGTGACAGTGCAGGCGTGTGCTCACAGCCATAGCTGTTTCCTAGGAGGGGTCACTTACAGTAGCCCCCCTAGACCCACATCTCCCTTAGCCCTCCCACTCTCCCTCCCCCACTCCCACAGGCACTAGACCGCCCCCCACCCCAGTACCTGACCAGAACAGGGCACTGGGGCCCTATGCAACCTTCCCTAGTACCAACCCCAGGGGCCCTGGACAGACCCCATCCATCAGGACATGGTGGGCAGGGGAGGCAATGCCAGCTGCCCCCCCTGACTCCATCTCTCCATCCCTTCTCTGGTTTCAGGCCGCCCCCGGGCCACAGCCTCGGCCCTGCACTTCCCCTCGACGTCCATCATCCAACAGTCCAGCCCCTACTTCACCCACCCGACCATCCGCTACCACCACCACCATGGACAGGACTCGCTCAAGGAGTTTGTGCAGTTTGTCTGCTCTGACGGCTCCGGGCAGGGTGCCGGGCAGGTACGCGCTGGGCAGGGGGTGCTGCAGGCCATGGGGGGGTGGGAATGGGGTGGGCGCCGGCCGGGCAACAGGACCCCCACGGCCCCTCTCTCCTCCTCTGTTTCTTGTCTGTCTCTCTCTGTGTCTCTTGAGGGCGCTGGGAGCCCCAGGGCAGGGGCAGGGGCAGGGGCTGTGTATGCTCCAGGGCATGGCATCATGGGTTTGGGGGGGCTTTGCAGGCCCCCCGATCCCAGGGCACAAGGAGGTACCAGGCTGCTGTATCCACAGGGCTTCTAGGCAGGTGGGGGCCCAGGGGACAGAGCTAGGGGCTAGGGTGGGGCCTCAGGGACATCCACTGAGGAGGCAGGATCTCAGGAGGCGGGGCTTTGAGCCAGGAGGAGGGGCTTTGAGCCAGGAGGCGGGGGCCTGTGCATCAGTGGGGTGGCCAGGAGATGGGGCCTCATACATCATGCAGCCTCAAGAGGCGGGGCCTTGAGCATCACTGGGGGGCTCAGGAGGTGGGGCCTTGAGCATCACAGGGGGGCCAGGAGGCGGGGCCTCAAGCATCACTGTGTGGGGTCAGGAGGCAGGGCCTCTGATACTCCCTCCCTCCCCCCCTCCCCCCCTGGGTGCGGGGGACACAGGCCAGCGCGGTCCAGAGCTGACCGCAAGCACCAGGGGCCACCCCATGGCTGCAGCCCATGGCCCCAGCCAGCCTGAGGCTGTCGGCAGCCTCTGCTGGGCATGGAGAAGAGCCACAACGTAGAACACAGTGCCTGCTGGGATGTCCGGGAGCTGCGTGCCATGGAGCCCCCACAGATGTCAAGCCTCTCAGAGCCCTCGACCCACCCCTCCCACGCCCGCAGGCCGGATCCACCAGCTGAAGGCAACCGCGGAAGGCACACGGACCACGGGGCTGCGGCCCCTCCATGCCCGCCCAGCCTGGCCCGGCCCAGTGCTGGCTGCCGCTCACCCCTGTATCTGTGTCGTTCACAGCCCAGCGGAGGCGGGCAGGGCAAAGTCCCAGGGTCTTTTTTGCTGCCGCCGCCCCCGCCCGTGGCCAGACCCGTGCCCCTTCCAATGCCCGACACAAAGGCCAGCAGCGCCAACCCCGAGGGCGGAGCCCCGACGCCGGCGTCACCCTGTAAGTGGACGACCCGCCATGGCCGGGCCATGCGCCCCCGCCCTCGGGGCCCCGCGGCGCCGCCCCACCACGTTGGGCACACAAGCAGGCAGACAGGCAGGAGGGGACAGGAGACAGATGGATGGGTGTGTGGCAAAAGAGAGTCTGGATGGATGGATGGATGGATACGTGGATAGGGATGTGTGCGGGGGTGGGTGGATGGATAGATGGATGGAGAAGGGGAGTTTAGACAGACAGATAGGTAGATAGATGGATATGGATGTGTGTGGGAATGAATGGATAAGGAGGTGTCTACAGAAATTAATGAATGGGCAGATAGTGTATGGGGTGGGTAGATAGATGGATGACAAAGGGGTGTTTTTGGATGGGTGTATGGATGGATGGAGGGATGGGTGTCTGGAAGAGGGTCAGTGGCTAGACAGATGATTGTGTGGAGGAGGTTTCCTGTGTGATGGATGGATGGATGGATGGATGAATGGACAGACGGACGGATATGTGTGGGGTGAATGGACAGATGGACAGACGGACAGTTGTGTGGAATGGATTTCTGATGGATGGATATTTAGGGGGGCCTGGAAGGAAAGATGGATGGATGGATGGATGGATGGAGAAGGGGTCTGTAGGGTGGATGGATGGACGGGTAGATGGATAGGCAGATGTCTGGGAGGGTGGATAAGCAGAAGATTGTGGAGGGGGTTTCTGTGTGATGGATAAATGGATGGATAGAGGGCTGGACCAAGAGAAAGATGGGTGTTTGGTGGTGGCTTGAACGAGTGAGTGAGTGCATGTGGCAGACAGATAGAGGGGTGCCTGTGCCAGATGGCTGGACTGACAGCCAAAGGCAGGGGCCGCGGGGGGGGGGGGGGGGGGG